ACAAGTGCTCTGCAGGTGACAGTGAGCGTCCTGTTCCCTGACAACCCTTCTCCTGGCAGTGCTAACACTCACTGATGATTTCTACCTGAATCAATTACTGCACAGTGGGCTGCAGAATGGGGACTTTCCAATTCTACCAACCCTTATGTTTAAGGGTTGACATCACTCTACAAAAAAAAAAAAATAAGTGCAGACACTCAACCCATGCTGAACATCCTGACATCCTTCTCAAGCACAAGTGAGTCCATTAAGGACTGGCCTTAGAAGAGCCCCTTCGTATCTTTATAGGAGGAGTGGGAGCAGGCAGGTTTCAGCCCCCTGTCAGCTGTGGTTCTCGATTCCACTGGAAGGAAACAGCTGTACAGTCGCTTGCCTGGCACAGTGTGAGCATCGGTAAAAGCTGAACAGTCCCGAGCACTGCAGGGCCAGGGAAGAGTGAGACTCAAAGGACCTCTGTGTACATGCAGCCTGGTAGGAACCAGCTAACCAACCCCCCAACCCTCCCCAGGACCTGTGGATGGTCAGACGTTGCCCCAGGCAGTTGTCACATGGGCCCTGGGCTTGGCCATGGCAACACAAGCTCCTCCCAGCCTGGACCCCCATCCTTTGTGCATTCAGACTCGTGCTGATGCAGACCCCGCCCCCTGCCCTCAGCCCTAGAGAGGACATTAAAGGACACGGTGGTCACGATATCCTTTCACTCTCATACCAACCCATCAGCGTGTGAAGATAACAGTGCACAGTAGGAAAACTGAACGAAGACACTGCAGGCAAGCAGCAACACTAGAATGCTGCCAGTGTGCTGATTCTACTAATCTACTTCTAATCAGGCTTGGAATTTGATCATTATCTTAAAGTCAAAATGACATGAACGACCAATCATCTTATGAAATAATTAAAGCAAATGTATCATGTTTCAGAGTAGCAAGTACCACTTAAACGATTGACTCATTCAGTCCTCGTGACGGCCCCCAGATATCAGCACGACCATTACTCCTGTGGTAGAGAGGACAGCACAGGCAGAGACCCCCAGGCATCTGCCCGGGTCTGCACGGTTAACACAGGCTCCCACTGGGAAGCCAGGAGTCTGGCACCCACATCTGTGTTGTTAACTGCAACATTGTGGTTTTGTCCGTGTGTCACTTTTGTTCCTGCTTTTGCCTAACTCTTTTGCTATAGGATAGAATTTTAAAAGTACAGGGA